GATAACCTTGACAAAAGCACTTTCAGCAAAGAGGTGGGAACAGAAGCAAGCCTGAAATAAATTGAAAAGTGAAAGACTGGTGAAGGAGTGTTGAAAATTAGGGTAGGCAACTTTTTTTTGAGATGTTTTATAATGATAGGCAGCAGAAAAATGAGGCAGTGGCTAAGAGAAAATGTGGAATTAATGGTTTTTATGGAATTCACATCTATATGTTAATAGAAATGATCCAATAGAAAAGAAGAAAGTGTTAATATAGGACAAAATGAAAATTATTGCATGAGTAAAGTCCCTGGGGAGGCAAGAAGAAGAGGAATCCTGAGAACATTTGGAAGGGTTTGTCTTTTATACAAGCAGAGAAAGTTTATTCACAGCAGAGTGTATTAATACAGATGCAGATAGGTTGGTAAATTTGGTGGTGAGAAGATGAAATAGTTCTCTTCTGATTGTTTTTATATTATTTGTGAAATAAGAAGTGAGGTTATCTGGGAATAAACAACATGGAGAAGTTGGAAGTTTGAAGAGAGAGAATATAGTGAAATATTTGTCTCAGAGAGTAGAAAAATAGTTAGGGAATTGTAGGATAGGCTGAGCAGTGATGTTGAACTTCAGGACATTCTTTATCAGAAATTTTAAAGCCTTCAATTCATCTGAGAAGCCCAGATCTAGCCTTCCATTGCTCAGTGTACTCCTCGTTCTGAGCATTGCTTCCCTAGATAGAGTCTTTATTCTGTAACAACTGGAAAAATGTCATTGGCATTAGGGAGGAGAATGAACAGTGCAACTCCTTTGTCTGTTACTTCAAATACACAGGGCTCCTACTCAGGCTGTTCCACATAGATTAGATGTACCTTCATATCTTTCTGTGCACAATATTTTTGATCTTTGGAATGTCATCAGTGAGTCCCACAAACTTCTCTTCATTTAGTTACTTTCCCCAGCCTGCAGATTATGTTTTGCAATTTGATCATAAATTTAAATGGGAAATCTGCTCACTTTCCTACACTTATGTCTTAATGAGCCCCCCCCCACATTACTTCATATTTATACTTTGAAATTTGCAAGCTGAACCATGGCTTAATGGTGCATTGGACACATCTGCCCCAGATTCTCATAGCATCCCCCTCACTGTGGCTGTGGAAAAATGGAATCCCTGATTGTACCTATACTATAAAATAACCAAAAGGGTGTGTCAAAGGTTTTTGAAATAAGACATGGAAGTTAAATTTCTATTGATGAAGAAAGTGGAAGCCACATTGACTATGTTTCTGGAGAACACGGGGAGGCTCAGCTTTGGGTCCGCCAATTGTGACTTCAAGGTAGGGTGACCAGGACACTCCCAGTATCTGCCTGTTATTATTATTTTTTTAAATTATACTTTAAGTTCTAGGGTACATGTGCACAACGTGTAGGTTTGATACATAGGTATACATGTGCCATGTTGGTTTGCGGCACCCATCAACTCATCATTTACATTAGGTGTTTCTCCTAATGCTATCACTGCCCCAGCCTCCCACCCCCAACAGGCCCTGGTGTGTGATGTTCCCCGCCCTGTGTCCAAGTGATCTCATTGATCAATTCCCACCTATGAGTGAGAACATGCGGTGTTTGGTTTTCTGTCCTTGTGATAGTCTGCTCAGAAAAATGGTTTCCAGCTGCATCCATTTCGCTACAAATGACATGAACTCATCCTTTTTTATGACTGTATAGTATTCCATGGTGTATATGTGCCATATTTTCTTAATCCAGTCTATCACTGATGGACATTTGGGTTGGTTCCAAGTCTTTGCTATTGTGAATAGTGCTGCAATAAACATATGTGTGCATGTCTTCATAGTAGCATGATTTATAATCCTTTGGGTATATACCCAGTAATAGGATTGCTGGGCCAAACGGTAATTCTATTTTAGATCCTTGAGGAATCGCCACACTGTCTTCCACAATGGTTGAACTAATTTACACTCCCACCAACAATGTAAAAGCATTCCTATTTCTTCACATCCTGTCCAGCATATGTTGTTTCCTGACTTTTTAATGATTGCCATTCTAACTGGCGTGAGATGGTATCTCATTGCGGTTTTGATTTGCATTTCTCTGATGACCAGTGATGATGAGCATCTTTTCATGTGTCTGTTGGCTGCATAGATGTCTTCTTTTGAGAAGTGTCTGTTTATATCCTTTGCCCACTTTTTGAAGGGGTTGTTTTTTTCTTGTAAATTTGTTTGAGTTCTTTGTAGATTCTTGATATTAGCCCTCTGTCGGATGGGTAGATTGTAAAAATTTTTTCCCATTCTGTAGGTTGCCTGTTCACTCTGATGGTAGTTTCTTTTGCTGTGCAGAAGCTCTTTAGTTTAATTAGATCCCATTTGTCAATTCTGGCTTTTGTTGCCATTGCTTTTGGTGTTTTAGTCATGAAGTCCTTGCCCATGCCTATGGCCTGAATGGTATTGTCTAAGTTTTCCTCTAGGGTTTTTATGGTTTTAGGTCTAACATTTAAGTCTTTAATCCATCTTGAATTAATTTTTGTATAAGATGTAAGGAAGGGATCCAGTTTCAGTTTTCCACATATGGCTAGCCAGTTTTCCCAGTACCATTTATTAAAAAGGGAATCCTTTCCCCATTTCTTGTTTTTGTCAGGTTTGTCAAAGAACAGATGGTTGTAGATATGTGGTGTTATTTCTGAGGTCTCTGTTCTGTTCCATTGGTCTATATCTACATTTTGGTACCAGTACCACGTTGTTTTGGTTACTGCAGCCTTTTAGTATAGTTTGAAGTCAGGTAGCGTGATGCCTCCAGGTTTGTTCTTTTGGCTTACGACTGTCTTGGCAATGCAGGCTCTTTTTTGGTTCCATATGAACTTTAAAGTAGCTTTATCCAATTCTATGAAGAAAGTCATTGGTAGCTTAATGGGGATGGCATTGAATCTATAAATTACCTCGGGCAGTATGGCCATTTTCACGATATTGATTCTTGCTATCCATGAGCATGGAATATTCTTCCATTTGTTTGTGTCTTCTTTTATTTCCTTGAGCAGCGGTTTGTAGTTCTCCTTGAAGAGGTCCTTCACATCCCTTGTAAGTTGGATTCCTAGGTATTTTATTCTCTTTGTAGCAATTGTGAATGGGAGTTCACTCATGGTTTGGCTGTTTGTCTGTTATTTGTGTATAGGAATGCTTGTGATTTTTGCACATTTATTTTGTATCCTGAGACTTCGCTGAAGTTGCTTATCGGCTTAAGGAGATTTTGGGCTGAGATGATGGGGTTTTCTAAATATACAATCATGTCATCTGAGAACAGGGACAATTTGACTTCCTCATTTCCTAATTGAATACCTTTATTTCTTTCTCTTGCCTGATTGCCCTGGCCAGAACTTCCAACACTATGTTGAATAGGAGTAGTGAGAGAGGGCATCCCTGTCTTGTGCCGGTTTGCAAAGGGAATGCTTCCAGTTTTTGCCCATTCAGTATGATATTGGCTGTGGGTTTATCATAAATGCCTCTTATTATTTTGAGATACATCCCATCAGTAACTAGTTTACTGAGAGTTTTTAGCATGAAGGGCTGTTGAATTTTTTCAAAGGCCTTTTCTTTATCTATTGAGATAAATCATGTGGTTTTTATCGTTGGTTCTGTTTATGTGATGGATTTCATTTACTGATTTGCATATGTTGAACCAGCCTTGCATCCCAGGGATGAAGCTGACTTGATCATGGTGGATAAGCTTTTTGATGTGCTGCTGGATTTGGTTTGCCAGTATTTTATTGAGGATTTTCACATCGATGTTCATCAGGGATATTGGTCTAAAATTCTCTGTTTTTGTTGTCTCTGCCAGGCTTTGGTATCAGGATGATGCTGGCCTCATAAAATGAGTTAGGGAGGATTCCCTCTTTTTCTATTGACTGGAATAATTTCAGAAGGAATGTTACCAGCTCTTCTTTGTACCTCTGGTAGAATTCAGCTGTGAATCCATCTGGATCTGGTCCTGGATTTTTTTTGGTTGGTAGGCTATTAATTATTGCCACAATTTCAGAGCCTGTTATTGGTCTATTCAGACATTCAACTTCTTCCTGGTTTAGTTTTGGGAGGGTGTCTGTGTCCAGGAATTTATCCATTTCTTCTAGATTTTCTAGTTTATTTGTGTAGAGGTGTTTATAGTATTCTCTGATGGTAGTTTATATTTCTGTGGGATCGGTGATGATATCCTCTTTATCATTTTTTTTATTATGTCTATTTGATTCTTCTCTGTTTTGTTCTTTATTAGTCTTGCTAGTGGTCTATAAATTTTGTCAGTCTTTTCAAAAAACCAGCTTCTAGATTCATTGATTTTTTGAAGATTTTTTTTGTGTCTCTATCTCTTTCAGTTCTGCACTGATTTTAGTTATTTCTTGCCTTCTGCTAGCTTTTGAATGTGTTTGCTCTTGCTTCTCTAGTTCTTTTAATTGTGATGTTAGGGTGTCAATTTTAGATCTTTCCTGCTTTCTCTTGAGGGCATTTAGTGCTATAAATTTCCCTCTACACACTTCTGCCTGTTATTTTAAAGTAAACCTTAACAGCTGTCACTGCCACTCTCATAAGTGTTCTGGTTTGGACAAGAAATTATATGTCACCCTACTTCCAGAGTTTGATATGGTCACTACTTTCAGAGAAACCTGCCTTCACTAACCAGCTGCTGTTTTTTTCTGAACCCTCATGTGCACATATGAGTGGAGTGCCACACTCTTACAGCCACTACTACCACCACTATTTCTGAGACCTGATCTCAAAAATAATCTCATCATTGCTGTTACTCTTTGGCCCTGCTATCTACTTCATAATTTTCTACTCTTTAAGTTTTGCTTCAAACAATTTTCTATATCTGCCTAGTTGGATCGAGGACTGGGTTTGAATTAATAAGTTTAAATTTGGTCCAAACCGGTAAAAAAAAAAAAAAAAAAAGAGGCACACAGGCATCCCTCTACATCTAGAGACCCTTACTGCTTCCAAAGGAATCCTCCCTAACACATCCACACTGCCAAAGTTAAAGAATCTGTGTTTAGGGCCCCCAAATCCAAATTTTATATAGGCCTCTTTTCATCCCATCAGATATACTACTCTTTCTTGCCTGATAAGAGAAAGAAGCCTAGACCAATGAAATTAAGCCCACCCTGGAAGGAAAGGTGGCCCCTTTAAGAACATGGAATGGTCTGGAACCCTTGATTCTGCCCACTATGACAGCACGAAGCAAAGGTCAGAGCGACTGGCCATAGGCACAAGTGAAGCTTTCTTGCCAGTCTTCGTTGAACTCACACTTCAAAAATCATGGTTTTCTTTCTTTGTTTTATCGTGGTTTTCTGTCTTATTATAAAGAAGATTGCAGAAAAGAGGCAGAGAAGGAGAGATGAAAGACCAAAAAAGAGTATCTAAACAACAGAGGACGAATACTGGGTGTGTCTTATTTTTCCTGTTTCTATCAGTTTGTCTTTTCATATGATACTTAACCTCTATCTTACCCTCGATATTATTACCAATCTAAGAATCTCTACCCCTCAAAGGTGGTTGTGGGCATTAGATGAAACTTAGGAGTAGTTCATGGTATATATTTCACAAACTATTTAATCTTTTTAAAACAAAGGGCAATGAATTATTTTATAGACTGCATCAAACTTCCTCATGTAAAAATAACTATCAAAGTGGCTAGCAAAAATACATTTGATTTCAAAATCATTCAATCAAAATGATCATGTCATAATATGTATATGCATAGACATACATACAATACATATTGTATATGTACATACTCTCAACTGGTGTGGCTACAAGAATAGGTTCTGTGTAGATCTTGTTTTGATCCAATATTATATGCCTCATGTCTGTTTTAAAGCCAAATTTTTGCTTCAATGCTCATATTCCTGCAATTTAGTCTTTACTTATGTACTTACTCAGAGTATGGTCTTTAAGTACCAAGTCTTTATCAGTTGATTTCTATGGATTAGCTTCCCTCCAAAACCCTTTAGAATATGTCGTGGCTGTTTGACATTGCAGGTCTCTGTATTCAACCTAAGTATTTGCTGCCTGAGTTATTTTTGTCTTTTGTGTTTCCTCTGGAGATATGTGTTTTTCAAACTATGACAATGGGAAGGGGGATTTAAATTTAACCCTTTTGGATGGAAAGGTCACTTACTGCTTAGAGTGGTGGCTGAAATGTATCTTCAATTTGCACTTACTCTTCAGTGGGCCATTTGATATCCCTATATAGATAAATGATGATGGCGATGAAGATGATAGATAGATAGATAGATAGATAGACAGACAGATAGATAGACAAACAATAGACAGAAAGATAGAAATAGAAAGAGACTTGCTATACAGTAAATATAATATATAAACATTTTCCCTGTAGCAATTACCTTTGTTTATTTGTCATTTCTAAAGATTAGTCCTGGAACTATCTTGATATTTAAATATTAGAATGTAGAATAAATGTGAGCTATTATATATTATATTTCAAATTTCCCTAAAATCATGGCTATTTCTTCTCTTCCCTCAAAAAATCAATGTGCAGAATCTCTGGAACTCATCCCTTCAGAGGTTCCTTCCCAGAAGAACTGTATCTCCACTACCTCGGTTCTCTGGAATAAATTACAAGTAAGTTATCTTAAAAGGGATGTTAAAGCATGTAAATACTAAAAAGAGAGAAAGCAGAATCTTATTTGGGAATAATTTTAGTAGATAGTTTTATGTATTTATCTTTTGGTAGAAGGTAGGGTTTCAGGGAACGGAACATAGAGATAACAATGTTTCTAACTGTGAATATCTACATAATTGTATTTATATTGGAACAGAAGATTGCTCTTTTACACATTTCCTAAGAAAAAATGTCAGTACTAAAATTAATCTGCAAGATTTAAAAAATTGTACTTCATTTATTTAAGTATCATAGTAATTTCTCAGACATTCCAAGAAAGAACCACAGAAAATATTCCCTAACAAGAACCCTAGTTTGAGTGAGAAACAGAATAAAAGGAGAATTGTTTCATTCTTTCAGTTTTATGAGAATGCCATTATTTTATGTCTGCTATGTCAATCTAACGTAACTTCCGAAAGACTTCGTTTATTTGCTTTCCACAGATTATCGTCATAACATTCGATTTCATCATAACACGTAACAGTTTATGATTGACTTTTTAAAGAGTCCTATAATATTTATTTTATTTTTTTCATTTAAAATAGCCTTATGATTCATGAGTCCAAAGAGGACAGTCTTTACATCTATCCATCTTATAACTGATGTGGTTCTCAAGGAACAAAAAACCTAAGCAAATTAAGGGAACAAGCATTTATCAATCATGCAAATGAAGCCACTCTTTGTATGTATTATGCATCTCAATCTCTATATATGGTTATCAACGTAATAATTCAAGTAAAGGTAATATAATAAATACTAAGATCTCACTATAGCAAAATGGTATGATAGAATTAGACAAATTATGTCAGGTAGAATTAGACAAACTTCAAGACAAATGTTCAGGAAATTTAGTTTATATGACTCACTGTCACTACTATTTTATTTTGTAAAATGGGATTAGGAAATATGAACCAAATGTAAAGTATATATAATACTTAATATGTATTAACAGACATATATAAGTATGCATAATCTATATTTAAATTTGAATCTTTAGAAGGAGATTTCAGATCAAATGAAAACTGATTAAATGCCATTAGACTGGTTAACCCAGAGACGAGACAGGTCTTAATGTTTTTGAAGTCATTAAATTACCATAATTTAGCAATGCAACTGCTATTTTGTGTTTTAGTCCACTTAAATAATACATTAAATAGTATATTGCTCAAGCTAATGTTGAACACTAGCTAATTACTGATCACTAGCTATAAGACATGTTAACAAATAACATAGAATGCAAAGTATTTCCTTGTAGAAGTGTTTAAAAACAATCAGAAAACAGTGAAACAGATGATCAGCAGAAAGTTATCTTTATGAATTTTCTTGATAAGTGCAATGAATTATAGAAAATTGGAGCTAGTTCACCAAAAATGGGTAACTGGTATTTGTTAACATAATAAGTTGTGGTTCTTTTGAGAGAGGGATATCTTTGGTTGACCACATAGCAAAATAACATTCCCCCAAAAAACCACACTGTGAATTAATGAGTGACCTCACAGTGATAAATTAAGGAAACTTATTTAAAACTTATATAAACTTATATAAACAGATTAGTAGTTTTAAGGATTTTGATTATGCAGTAAGACAAAATGTCAGCTGTGTGATTGAATAAAAACAGGTTTTTCTAATGTACTTAGCATATATTAGGAAACATATATCATCTATGAGGACAAGTGATGAAAAACAGAACTAAAAAAAAGAACTTTCATGGGACATGTAAAATCATTAAGAGAATTAAATAAGAGAGAATGGCACTGAACTCATTGTGGGTCAATACATGTGGAAACTCAAAAAGAAAACCTCAGTAAGAAAAGAGGAAAGGGTGATATTAAGAATATAGAGGGGAAACTGGCCGGGCTTAAATGTAGGTGGCTTCAGAATCAGTTTTGATCTGTGTATTAGTTCCCTATTGCTGCATAACAAATTATCAGACTTGGTAACTTATAAAAACACATATTTATTATCTCACAGTTTCTATGCTTCTCAGTCCATTTTGTGTTACTATAAAAAAACCTGGGGCTGAGTAATTTATAAAAATGGAAAGTTTATTTGTCTCATGGTTCTGCAGGTTGTAAAAGAAGCATGGCACCAGCATCTATTTCTGGTGAGGACTTTAGGCTGCTTCCACTCACAATGGAAGGCAAAAAGGAGCTGGCATGTGCAGAGATCACATAGCAAGAGAGGATACAAGGAGGTTTCCAGGGTCTTTTTAACAATCAGCTCTCATGAGAACTAATTGAGGAAGAAGTCACTTACTACTGAGAGAGTGACTCCAAGTCATTCAGAAGGAATCCACCACGACACACTAGGCTTCATCTCCACAACTGGGAATCACATTTCAACATGAGATTTGGAAGAGTCAAATATCCAAACTATAGCATTCTACTCCTGAACCCTCAAGTATCATGTCCTTCGCACATGCAAAATACAATAATTTTATCCCAATAGTTCCCAAAAACTTTAACTTGTTCCAGCGTCAACTCAGAAATCCAAAGTTAAAAGTCCTATCTGAGACTCAAGGCAATTTACTTACAACTGGGGGCCTGTATAATAAAAAAAAATAAGTTATTTAACTCCAAGGCACAATGGTGGTACAGGCATTCAGTAAATATTCCCATTCCCAAAGGGAGAAATTGGCCAAAAGAAAGGGAGAAAAAGCCCTACACAATTCCAAAACCCAGCAGAGCAGACATCAAATCTTAAAGCTCCAAAATAATCTACTTTGACTCCATGTCCTGCATCCTGGGCACACTGGTAAGCAGGGTGGGCTCTGAAGACCTCAAGAAGCCCCACTCCCATTGTTCCGCCAGGTGCACCCATGTGGCTACTCTCATGGGTTACAGTCCAATGCTTACAGTTTTACTAGGCTGCAGTTGCACACTTCCAGGGGCTCTGTAATTCTGGAGTCTGGAGGGTGGTGGCACTGCCCTAGTAGGCACCATTTGTGGCGGCTCCAACCCCTATTGCATTCTGAGCACCTGTGGATATAACACCATATGCGTGCTACCAAGGCTTACAGCTTGCACCCTCTGGAGCAGTAGCCTGAGCAGTACCTGGGGCCCTTTGAGCCACAGCTGGAGCCGAAGCAGTGGGGATGTAGGAAGGAACATCCTGAGACAGCACAGGACAGCAGAACCTGGGCCTGGCTCCCAAAACCATTCTGTCTTCGTAGGCCTCTGTGCCTGTGATTGGGTCTTTTACCCATAGTCTTGACTATTAGTGCCTGGCTTCCATTAGTCATAGTAATCTCTTTAGCAAGTGGTAGTTCCACAACATCCTTGGATTCCTCTCCTGAAAACACTCTTTTCTTCTCTATCACATGGCCAGGCAGCAAATTTTCTAGATTTTTACACTCTGTTTCCTTTCTAATCATAAATTTCAACTTTAGGTCATCCCTTTACTCCCAGATAATATTGTAAGTTGTTAAAAGTAGCCATGCCATTCTTGAATGCCTTGCTGCTTAGAAATTTCTTTCACCAGATACCCTAGGTCATCACTCTTAAGTTCAACCTTCCACAAAGCCCTAGGGCATGGACACAATGCAGCCAAGTTCTTTGCTACAGTGTCACACTGACCTTTCTCCAGTTACCATTAAGTTGCTCATTTCCATTTAAGACCTCATCAGCATGGCTTTTACTGTCTATATTTCTATCAGCATTTTGCTCACAACCACAACCAATCTTTAGGAAGTTCCAAACTTTCACCTATCTCACAGTCTTCTTCTGAGTGCTCCAAACTTTTCTAACTTCTGCCCATTAGCCAGTTCCCAAGCTGCTTTCACATTTTCAGGTATCTTTATAGCAATGCCCCACCCCGGTACCAACTTTCTGTCTTGGTCTGTTTTTGTTTTGCTATAAAGGAATACCTAAAGCTAGGTTATATTAAGAAAAGAGGTTTATTTGGCTCATGATTCTGCAGGCTAGATGACTGGGAGTCTGGTGAAAGCCTCAATCTGTTTCCACTAATGGCAGAAAATGAAGGGATGCTGGCATGTACATAAATCACATGGTAAGAAAGGAAGCAAGAGCAGGGAGGTGACAGGCTCTTTTTAACAGCCAGTGGTCATGGGAATTAATGGACTGAGAACTCACTACTGAGAGAATGGCACCAAATCATTCATGAGGAATCTGCTCCCATGACCCAAACACTTCCCACTAGGCCTCACCTCCCACACTGGGGATCAAATCTCAACATGAGATTTGGAGGGGTCGGTTATCGAAACTATAGCACCATGAGTCAGGAATCTGAATATTGCTTATCTGGGTCCTCCACTCAGGGTCTTTCAATGCTGTGATTAAGGTGTCAGGCAGACTGCATTGTCATCTGGAGTTTGGGTCCTCTCCCAAGCTCATGCATTTGTTGGGAGAATCCACTTCCTTGCAACTATAGAACTTCATTCTCTTTCCTACCCCTTTCCTTGCTAGCTGTCATCTAAAGGCCACTGTCAGTTCCTAGAGGCCACTTGCGGTTGCCACATGGCCCTCTGATAGACCCTCTCACAACATTGCAGTTCACCTCTTCAAGGCCAGCAGAAGAATGGCTAGCTCCATTCTGCTAGGATGGAGTCCTAAATAACAATGTATTCAAGAGAGTAACTATTGTATTGATATTCCCTATCATTTTCTCCATATTGGCCAGAAGCAAGTCACAGGTTCTTCCTATGCTCCAGAGAAGGGGTTTCTGCAATCAATGTACCTCATTGAAGGTATCATTCAATGTGTGTCCACATAATCAACAATTTACCCTTTAAAGAGGACTAAAATTGAACAGCTCAGCTTTTTTCCTGGAAGACAAGGTGAACAGGGAAAAAATGATGACCCTTAAAGGTTATAGAAAGCCTGGGACAGATAATCTTTTAAAACTGAATGAAACTAATTGAGGAATGTAACCTTTTCATTCATTCAACCAATTGGTTAAACCTACTGGTGCCTAGTATGTGCCAAGACCTGTGGTATTTAAACAATGATGAAAAACGTTATTGTCTTGACCTATGGAACTATATTACAGTGGAGGGAAACATACATTAAACAGGTCGATATGTATATAATTAAAAATTGTGATAAGTACTACAAAATAAAAGCTCAGAGGGTAGTGAGAGAGAATGACAAGGGTGATGCAATCACCTGTGGTGCAGTGTGTGTATCAGTATTACCCTTAATTATAGCCACCAAAAGAAAAGCAATAATGGTGCAAGAGGTGGATAAGAGACTCAAAAGAGAAGTGGGTCAGAGCAGTCAAAAAGTCAGTCAAAAAGTAGTGGTAGTAATTTCCAAGAAGTAGGGGCAGGATTGGAGGTGGAAGAGGCAAAATAAGACAAATAAGTGGTAGTAAGTAAGAGGCAAAATAAGACAAATAGGTGGTAGTAATTTCCAAGAAGTAGGGGCAGGATCGGAGGTGGAAGAGGCAAAATAAGACAAAAAGTTGAAGTGACATGGATATTGGTAAGGGAAAGATAGTGCCCAAGACAAGAAAGAGCATGCCTAAAGTTCCTTAGGAAAAGGCGTGGAAAAGGTTTATCTGTCTCTGCTAAGAAATTAAACTTTTCCCCAAGAAAGCTCTCACTGTACTTTTATTTCAAGGATACATGGTAACCAAGCTCAGCATTCTGTTAAAGCACATTGTTAAAGTTGCTCTCACTGAGTGTCCCAGTAATATGTTAGATATCAAATCCAAAACCCTATTTTAAGACTTCACCTTATCTGATCTCTCTATAGACATTTAATACTTAATGCTTCCTGAACACTTCCAGGGTAATACTCTCCTAGTGGTCTGCCTATCTCTCTGACTATAATTCCCTAAACTCCTTCTGAAACACCTTCTAATCTCTAATCAGAGGCAGTGCCTGCCACAAAGTGGTGGACAACAAATATATATATTTTAAATTTTTGAACCATTCTTGTATGAATGGAGAAGACAGCCAGTATAATGTTTTTCAGTAAACATAAAAAATTCTCACCATTATCCTAAGCAAACTAATGCAGGAATATAAAAACAAATACCACATGTTCTCACTCAAGTGAGAGGTAAACAATCAGAACACATGGACACAAGGAGGAGAACAACAGACATTGGGGATCACTTTAGAGTGGAGAGTAGGAGAAGAGAGAAGATACAAACCCCCCACCAATTGGGTACTATGCTTATTACCTGGGTGACTAAATAATCTGTACACCAAACCGCTGTAACACACAGTTTACCTATATAACAAACCTTCACATATAACCCTGAACTTAAAATTAAACTTAAAAAAAAAAAAATCTTCCATTCAGTTCTGACGTAAAAAAAAAAAAAAAAATCTTAAAATAAAGGCCTACAGTATTCATATTTTCTCAGATCTGTTTTAAAATGACATTTTTAAATGTTCATGGACATGTTTCCTTATGGTCCTTGGAAAAGTAAATTTATGAATGGAGATTTTTAATTGTCAAAAAGTAACGTTATGTTGGGGAAATTAAGTTTTAGCATGAACCTCTATCATAAAACAATTCTGTGCCGAGACGAAACTCTGGTTATGTGACATAAATAATGTTATGATAACATATGTTGTGAAAACAATTAGTCATGTATTTTAAAATGTGTGTATATGATCATACAAAAAAGACAAATGGAATATTTCATAAATGCAACAAATTTAATTTTGTGTTAATACAGTACTAACATTCATAATTGTGTAATACTAGAGTGTGGAACTTCGTACTATAGTATGATAAAAAAATAAATATTTGCTTTTCTTACGTAAATTTTCTCCTGTAACGTTTGCTTTTTACTTTAGTATGGAAACTGGATTGCCCAATATCTAAACCAGTATGAAGGAACTATTTTACAAGTATTTAATGGTTATTTAAAATCAGCCAGAGATTATTTTACTAAAATAAGATATTTTCATGTGTTGTTTTACATCACTACAGATTTCTGAGAGTGATTAAATAGATTTCTAAAATAACTAAATATAAGCATATCTGAATGAGAATAAAAATTTTATTAAATGTCATTTAATTACATTTGATATTTTTCACTTATTTGCAGAGTTTTTCTACACCAGGAGTTCCAAAGTCAAGCTACATTCAAAGAGAGAAACAACACACTGGATACTCACATTATGAAGAGTCAGACATTCCTTATAGGATAGAACATGTGCAATTGAAATCTAACTATTAAGTCTTCTGTGGAAAAAAAACGTATATGTGTACTATATGGCCATCTGATCATTTTAAAAGCATACTCAGAATACTTTAAGAAAACACTATGAGTATGAATTATCTATGCTCTAAACACTTTACTTCTCTTTCTGCGTTTATGCCATCACTTCTTATCCCTTTATACCTTGAACTTTTTCTTTACCCCTCTCTCACTCTATGACTCCTGAACAAAATTTTCATTTCCAATATCCAGCTTCATTAACTAAGAAGGGATGGCAAATGTTTATTATCACCAGAATGCAGCATAACACTTGCATACTGGTTTATGACATGCATCTTTATAAAGTGCTCAGTGAAATGCATAAACGATTGATTGCAAATTGGTCAAAGAGAATACTGAGTACTTTATTAGTTACTGGCTAAAGCTAAGGAGTTACACAAAAGCATCATATCTAAATAAGGAATTTCATTTGAAATATGTAATTTCATTATGAATAAATTCCATAAAATAAACTAAGAATTGCTAAATGATTTCTGTAAACGGACTGGAGCTGTAGAATGATCCCATGACCTGGGCCCCTGACTCCTTCTTTCCTTTCTTCCTTCATTCCTTCTTCTCTTCCTTTATCTCTCCTTTATTTAAAGGGTATCCAGAGAGGAGCAAGATGGTGGAATAGAAGCCTCCACCAATCACTGCACATCACCCCCAGCAAGGACACCAATTTAACAACTATCTACACAGAAAAAAACAACCATATAAGAACCAAAATTCAGGTGAGCCCTTATAGTACCTGGTTTTAACTCCACATTACTGAAAGAAATACTGAAGAGATAGAAAAAAAAAAACTCACCTTGAATCACTGACACTACCTCTCCCCAACTCCCCAGCAGCAGTGTGGAGTGGAGCATCTCTGGGCATTGGGGAAGGGACAGCACAACAATTGTGAGGCACAAATTCAGTGCTGTCCTGTTACAGCAGAAAGGAAAACAGAATAAAACTCAGCTGACATCCACCCACAGAGGGAGCATTTAAACCAGTCCTAGGCAGAGGGGAATCTTGGATCCCAGTGGGTGGAACTTGAGTTCGTGCAGACCTTGCCACCCAGGGCCAAAGTGCTCTGGATTTCTAAGCAAATTTGATAGGCAGTCTAGGCCACAAGGACTACAACTCTTAAGTCCTAGTGTTGAACTGGGCCCAGAAACAGTGGTCTGAGGGTGCATGTGACCCACTGAGATATCAGTGGGAGCAGCTAAGGGAGTGCTGGCATCACCCCTCCCCTAAACTCTCGGCTGTACAGCTTTTGGCTCCAAAAGAGACCCCTTTCTTCCTCTTGAGGTGAAGAGAGGGAAGAAGTGGAGGACTCTGTCTTGCATTTTGGATACCAGCTCAGCCACAGCAGGATAGGGCACAGGTCAGAGTCATGAGGACCCTGTTCCAGGCCTTAGCTTCCAGGCAGCACTTCTAGACATACCCTGGGCCAGAAGGGAACTTGCTGCCTTGAAGGAAAGAACACAGTCCTGACAGCATTCATCACCTACTAACTGAAGAGCCCTTTGGCCCTGAATAACCAGTAGCAATACCCAGGTACTACCATCAAGGGCCTTGAGTGAGATGCTAAGACTTGCTGGCTTCAGGTAAGACTATCATACTGCCAGCTGTGGTGGATACAGGGTGAAACTCTTTCTGCTTAAGAAAAACAGAGGGAATATTGAGGGGACTTTATCTTGCACCTTGGGTATCAACATGGCCACAGTGGGGTAGGGCATCAAGTGGGTCTCTGATTCTAGGACTGATTCTTAGATATCATCTCTACCTGCCCTGGGCCAGAAAGGAAACTACTATCCTGAAGGGTGAGTCCAAGGCCAGGCGGCATTCATCATATGCTCACTGAAGAGCCCTGGGACCTTAGGACCCAGGGTCTCACTTGCAGTAGTCTGGCAGTACTCCCTACGGTCTGTGGTGGTGGTGGCTATAGAGTGAGGCCCCTCTGCCTTTGGAAAGGGAATGGAAGAGTTAGAGGGATTGCATCTTGTGGTATGATTGCCAGTTCAGTTGTAGTACAATAGAACACAAAGCAGAATTCTAAGTTTTTGACCCTAGGACCTGACTCCTGATGGTACTTTTGGATCCACCTGGAGACTGGCGGTTCTTGCTGCCCTGAACGGAAGGAGACAGGACTGGGTGGCTTTGCCACCTGCTGATTGCAGAGCCCCTTGAAAAAACATAGGCAGTAGCCAGGGAGTAATGATAGCAGGCCTTGGGGGAGACACAGTGCTGTACTGGCTTCAGGTCTGAACCCAGAGCAGTCAGAGTGGTGGTGGCCACGGGGTGCTTGCATCACTCCACTCCCACTTTTGGGTGGCTCAGAACACAGAGAGGGAGACACTCTGTACATTTGGGAGAAAGTAAGAGAAGCATACAAGATTCTCTGCCTGGTAATCCAGAAAATTCTCCTGGATCTTCTCCAAGACTAATAAGGCAGTATCTAGGAGTGTGCAAGAACCACTGAGCTTGGTTGGGGTGCTCTCTGAAGCAGATACAGCTTAGTTCACAACACCCAAGTCCTTTGTGGAAAAGGGGGGAGCATGTATTTACTCACTAAACTTTTGGAGAATGAACCAAATGGACCAAATGGACCACTCTCATTCCTGAATCACTCATTCTCTCTATTTCTCCCTGTCTCTTAATTTCCACACTTTCTCACTATATCTAGTCTTCCAGCACCTCTTTTCCTTTTTATCCCTTCCCTTCCTGGCAAACTTTCTGAGTACAGTCTTTCTTATGAAGAGCCCTACAGTAATGATCAAGTCTTAAGACTCTTTTGGAGTTTTGCAAATTTCCCAGGCCTAGAGTATTGAATGTAGCATTTGCTTAGAGTCTATGGATGGAGAAGTGGGGTAGAAAATATAGAGGACTTCTAGTCTAGGCTGAAATGGAGCTAGTTCTTCTTTACAATATCTAAATTTGAACACATTTCTTCACCAAAATTAATATATTGTCCTTCTGTGTTAAAAAAAAACTCTCCTGGATCTAAGATGCATCACAAAGTGTCCTACACTAATCTGTCAACTATTGGTCCTGTTCTTCAGCCATCTCTCCTTAATTCTCTGGGGTGGAAAAGGGGAAATTAAGAAAAGAAAAAAGAGAAAAAGAAATTGTTAAGTGCTCACCAGTCACTGTCCCTTCTACTTCCTAATAGATCTCAAATATGTCCCTCTTCCTACCATTTCTCTATTCATTCTGACACCATCATCGTCTGAAACACCACCATCTTTTCCCTGGACAATTGTAACTGACACGCAATTGGTCTCCCATATATTACAATTGCCTCAGTCCAATCCTTTTGCCACAGTACAGCTAGGGTAATATTTTAATATACACACCTAGTCTTGTTATATTTCTCCTTAAACCTCTTCAACAGTTTCCAATTACCTTAGAATAAAATTTCAAGTTCTCACCATGGATCACAAGGCACTCTAAGACCCCAAGATATCAGGTCTCTGTCACTTCGTCTTTCTGTCTCTTTCTATCTAGATTTACATCTATATCTACATCTACATCATGTATGTGTTTGCGTGTTACTGTGTAATATTTATAAGAATACTTACTATGATGTAAGTACAAAATACTTTACATGCAATCTTATGCCATCCTCCCATCACTATGAGGTAGGTAGTATTATTTTTCCCATGTACAAATGAGGAAATCGAGGCTTTAAGTAGTTTATTAACTTGTGCAAACCCATATAATTAGTGTCAGAGCCCAGGATTCAAACACAATCAGCCTGATTCAAAACTATGTAACTAGAAACAGTATATTTTTTCCAATTTCTTCACTTACCACTCTCCATCTTGCTATGTGCTCTAGTTATACTCGACTTTCGGTTTCTCTTTTAGGGCCTTCCTACATGTCGTTCTCTCTGCCTGGATAACCTGATCAGAAATAAGTCCTTGAAATTCAGACATTTCTATGGAAGATGTGGCTATCTCAGAGAAAAAAACCTCTAAGTTAGGCTTAGAGATTTTTAACCATGAAAGAGTTCCTGGTTGGTTGAAAGTTTTCTGTGAATGTCACATAGTCCAGAATAGAAACAAGCTTCCAGTTGTTGAAAGATTCCTTTACTCATACTGAGAATCATGTAGGGCCAGACCCTGGGTGGTAGGACTTCTGTAGGTGTTTAATACGACACAAGACCAGGCTCTAACTGACTCTTATCAGTCTAAGCAGGAATAGACATTGAGTGTTCAGAGTTTTAGCCTCTTGATGCTGAGGCTGGCCTAAGAACAGGATCTGGGTGGTTAGAGATTTTGTTTGTATGCACTGAAAACTTCATAAATTGTCAGAGGCTGCTATTGTACGTGCTAGAGTCAGAGTAGGAGAAGACCGAGGATGGTCAAAGGCGTAGTTATATACAGGAGATAATCTAGCACAGTGGTTAACAACTTAAACAACTCTGTAGTGAGCCTGCTGCATTGAAATTCCAGATTCCACACTTCCTAGCTGTGGGACATTGGCCAAGTGACTTATCCTTTATCTCTGTTTCATCTTCTCTAAAGTGAGAATAACAGTATGTACTCCATAGGGCTGTCATAAGGATTAAATTAGACATGTAAAGCACTTGAAACAGTGCCCAGCAAATAGTGATTAGTCAAGAAATCATAACTATTATCTGTTATAGCCTAGTACAGGAATAAGGCTAAAGTGGACAAAGGTTTCTTCTGTAGGTGCTCTCTGCACTCCAAGGAACAAATCTCATGTTTGAACTTATAGTGTATGTTTGAATATACCTTTCTTACCTGACTTTTCCAAACTTTGCCCTATATATATATATTTGAAATATATATATTTAGAGAGAGAGAGAGAGAGAGAATTTATTCTTTCCAATCCTGTCTACTCCGCTGATGTATGCCACCTGGACTGCCTGATCTAACCACCTAATTACAATCAAGTCTGTTTGTTGATTCCTACATCTATCTCATAGTGACAATGGTAATTTTGATTTTAATTGCTTCCTGCTAAGCTCAAAGATGTGTTTGGTTTGCCTTTCTGACACTGCCAAGCAACAATCATAAGTCCTTATATCCTTTGCTTCTTACAAGTAGAGGAGAGTGACAAAAGGTAGTAGCAAAGATGACAATATGCTAAGATGGTAAGTACTCCCATAAATAGGTTCTTCTCCACCAGGAGACAATCTTTTTACTGAACTCTTAAAAATGAAATATTCCACTTGGCTTTACTCTTCTAACTAGAAGTCACTAGCAGCTAAGATTGTAAGTTTATACACAATAACTTTTCTTTTAGAATGGCCTTGATATAGCTACAATGTTATAGTCTTGTATACAAAGTTGTTCAAGCTGTTTTCTGAAGGAACATCCATCTCTTCTGAGATTTTTAACAGTTTCAGAGGAATTTTCCCTCTTCCTTCTACTGCTAAGCTTTTAGTTTAATAGATGTTTTCAGCATACTGTATATTTAGTTATGACTGGCCCAGTATCGGTGTCCAAAGTTTGTGCTTTTATATCATCTGGTTGGGATACTGTCACAGTAAGAATGTTTTGTTAGGAATTATCCCATTTCCTTGATCACAAAGTTTTTGCTACTGACACTTGTAATTTAGAGACTTGGTAGGATTGGGTAAGTGCCTGGCCGGGAATTTCATTAAACTGGAAAAGGATATGAGTATAGCAGAATTTTTTTTTCTCATATGACCTCAAAAAAGATGTGAAGGCCAAGAGAAGCCGGAAGATATGATAGGACCAAGAAGAAAGATGAGGTCAAGTTTTCAGTTTCTGTCTCTAAAGTGAAGGGGTTAGATTAGATGACCTCTCAGTTCCCTTCCAGAAATGATATTGCATCATCCGAATCCTGGATGATGAGCCAAGATAAGAAGCCTAGGTCCAGAAAGTGGGTCAGATCTAGGAGGACAATTAGCAGAGACAAGAAATCGAGGCTTGCTGACTGGGAACAAAATCCTAGACCAACGTCAAGGTCACAAAAGGTTGCTATGTAATTATGGGATCTGTGTGATAGGCATAGGGATCAGCAGCAAGAGAGAAGGCTGGTACTGTGCCAGACTCCTTTACATGCAGGAGCTTTCTACAGGTTTCCTGCCCAGAGTAACTCACAATAGTTTTCAACATGTGGGCAAGGCTTGAATCTATGGGACAAAAATAGGAGTGACTGTTTGAAGTAATGGACTAGGGGAGCAGGGAAAAAGTACTTCTAGATAATGACCATCAGAGCAATTATTTTTATCAGGAGTTGAGGAGGAGATCAAAAGGAACACTCCTAGTTCCGGTAAGTGGCAAAGGAAGACCTTGAATTTAGATCTGACTCTAATGTCAGTGCTCTTAACTATTGTATTAGTTACCTGAGGCTGCCATAACAAATTACCACAAATTGGGTTACACAAAACAGTAGCTACTTATTCTCTCATGGTTCTGGAGGCCAGAAGTTTTAAATCAAGGTGTCAGCAGGGTCACGCTCCCTCCCGAGGCTGTAGGGGAAAATCCATTCCTTACCTCTTCCAGCTTCTGATGGCTTTGGTATTCCTTGGCTTATAGCCACATCACTGTGATCTCTGCCTCCCTTTTCATGTCACCTTCCCCTCTATGTCTCCTCTTCTGCCTGTATCTTAACAGATAAGCAAGATCTTTATTTAACTTAATGACATATTTTGTCACATAAGTAATGTTCACAGATCCCAAGAATGAGAGCATGGACATATCTTTTTGAGAACCACCATTCAGCCTACTATAATTCCTATGATGAAATTATTTTCTATTCAGCTTCTTTCGTTCTCAGACATTGACATTTTAGCAGGCACTGTTAATTTCATAACAAATATCCCTTTAATCTTTGCTAACAGAATCCAAATTTTGTTTGAAATATCTAAGCGTGTTCCCTTTTTACAGCCTCCATTGCCACTAGTTCTGGTCAATGAGATTGAAGGGGAAGTGTGATAGTGAGAGGATTTCAGGAAAGTTTTTGCCTTCCTGATAAGACGAGATGGACTTACCCTTTAAGTCCCTGGTCCTTCCACTATATTCAGCAATTCCACTCCTGAGTATATATCAAAAAAAAAAAAAAAAAAAAAAAAAAAAAGAGGAAAACTTACATTCACACAAAAACCTGCACTGTATATAAATAGAAGATTTCTTTGTAACAGCCAAAAACTGGAAAGAAGCCACTTTTCCTTCAACTAGTGAATGGATAAACAAACCATGATACATCCATACAATGTAACACAGCTCAGCAATAAAAGGAATGAGCTATAAATACATGCAACAACCTGAATGGATCCCCAAGGATTATGCTAAGTGAAAAAAAGACAATCCCCAAAGGTTCCATACTGTAACTCCATTTTTATAATACTTTGAAATGACTAAATTTTAGACAAAAAGGACAGATTAGTGGTTGTCAGAGATTGAGTTAGGGAGGTGGGAGAAAAGTAGGTGTGGTTACAAAAGGACAACAAAACGGATCCTTGTAGTGATGAAATTGTTCTGTATCTTGACTGTGGTAGTGGATACATGAACTTACACATATAACATTTTATAGAACAAATACACACACACAACTACAAATAAAACTAGGGAAATTGGAATAACATGAGTGAATTGTGTCAATGTCAATCTGATTGTAATACTGAACTAAAGTTCTACAAGATGTTCCACTGGGGGAAACTGGGCAAATGGTACATGGAATATTTCTGTATTATGTCTTAAAACTGCATGTGAATCCACATTATCTCAGTAAAAATTCAATAAAAATTAAATGTCAAGATGATGATATATTTATGGAATACTAAGGAATACAACAGGAAGAAGTCCCTAAATTTTCCTTAAATATGCAAAGGCAGAAAGACTGCATGGAAGAAATACTTAAGCTAAGTCTTGAAGAATGAGTAGAAGCATTCTGGATAGATGGGGGATGGATGGGCAATAAACCAGGAAGAGGGACCAGCAGGCAAAGAGATATAAGAGAACATGGTGTACTGAGGGAACTGCAAGTAATTCAAGTATGGCTGAAGCACAAAGTTCATATACAAGAAATATCTCTTTTTCTCCAATGTTCTCCTTTAGTAGTAGTCAAAAGAGATTTCTGACATGCAACCCTATGATACACAGGAATCAAAAGGAATCCACAGTCCCTTGTGCTCCAGGAATTAGGAGGGAGCCATCCCCTGTTCCCTTGTCTTGATCTTTATATTACACGAACGAAGAACTGGCCTCATAGCTTTCTGTGTTCCTTGCAGGACCCCCATCTCTCTCTCCCCCAACCCCCACACTCATAGTCTCACAACCATTACCTGCTTTGATATTATTAGAATTATATAATTATGTCCTTTATCTCTGTTTACTTCAGTCAACGAAAGAAGTCTAGAAATCCCAAATTCCTACACTTTATTCCCCATGCAACTCTGCACATTATTTTTTGACCCTATTTCCCATCCTTCCCCATTTCCTGAAACTCTCCTGCAGTGTCTACTAGAACTTACAGTCCATCACCAGAAAAAGTATTTATATCCTCAACCTCTTTTCTAAATATTCCTTTCACCTACTTGCTCTAAGAACTCTAGTTTTCCAATGAAGACACTGCTTCCCCTAAAGCCCAAATGGCAACTGTTTTTTTTCCCATACTCCTCAAATCAATGGTCCTAAAGTTGGGTTAGACAACCTATTTGCACCTCATTACCACTTCCAAGCCATTATCCTTCTGTCTTCCTTAAACGTCCCCCAGCTTTGAATTTCAAGTCATTCAGTCATTTAGTTGTTCATTCATAAAGCAATCATGTATTGAACACTCTACTATATGCCAGTTATTATTCTAAGGGTTAGGGATACAATGATAAAACTGGACAAAATTCCCTGTCCACATGGAGCTTATATTTTACGATTCCTTATAATTAAGTTATACTACTCATTACTAGAGGAGTTTAAATTCTGGCCTAGTGACTGTCATAATACTTGATGATCAATATATATTAATAAATTTTCAGATTTATTGGGTTCTCATTTCCTTGATCTCCTCTCTTCCAGGGAGCTATCTACCACTTTTCCTCAGCCACTCTTATATTCATTCCCTGTCTATAATCTCAATTTTAAGCATTCCACTATCTAATCAGCACCTTTCATCTCTCCATCACACTGCTTTTAGCACCCTGACTTTTATAATTCTTCAACCTTTACAAGATACGCATTCTTTGGACCCTATCAGTTTTTTACAGTTCCTTATCATTCTCATGTCCCCTTTCCCCTCTACCTAATGCAAATTACATAATCATTCCCTGGTATATATGTCCTGAATATTCTTGCCTTTTTCTTGCTTGAGTTCAGGGGCCAAAACCGAAGCCTGCTTAAAGCCAATCCTTTCTCTACTTTAATCTACCTCCATACAGGTGAAGGTGATTTTAAAAAAGCATACAACCACACTTAATGATCTTAGTTAAATTCTTGACCACGAACCTCATCTGTGCTCTTATTGCTACCTAGCAATCATACTAAATCTCTGTAGTCTAGTCATGCTGTTTCTCACTTAGATGTCTATTTCACACCTTCTCTTCCTAAAATCTCTAATATTTCCTGTCTCTCTTCATTCTATCTGATACCCTTACTTACTACTTCACTGAGGAAATTAAAGCAATCCAAACAAAACTTTGAACTGCACAAAAGTATAACTTAAAAGAAAAGAGGAAATGCTTCTCTTTTTACAAGTATTCCTGCTAATTCCAGAAACACCCAATCAATTAATAGATCTAAACAAAAATTATCAAAGGCTGTTAACATCCCAACAAGGGAAACAACTGGACATTATGTGTCTCTTGATAGAAGTATACAACACCATTTATAAAGTATTCTTGCAAACATTAAACCCAGATCTCATCAAGCCTCTGAATGAGGAATTACAGAGAACAGAAGAACATGTTAAAAGTCACCATGGGGATGTAATCAGCAAAATACAGACTGTGGGAGACTCTACAGGACAAACAGTTCAGTTTTATCAAGAAATAAATTGGGTAATGTAGATGAAAAGAGCATCTATAAATTGAAAGTGACATAAGAGACACATCAATCACAATACGTGGTCTTTATGTGGACCACAATTCAAACAAACATTATAAAAAGACAACTGGGGAATTTGGAACATGGACGGGATATATTATAATATTAAGGAATTATTGTTAATATTTTAGGTATGGTGATGTGGTTATAGCTTTTAAAGCACCATTTTCAGAGGCATATAATAAAATACTTAGAGTTGTAATAATATGATACATGGGATTTACTTCAAAATAATCTGGGTAAGGGAAAGAGTGTAGATGGGGCTATAGAACAAAACAATACAGGTCATGAAGAGATAGTTGTTAAAGTTGGGTGATGAGAGCATGGAGGTTCATTAATCTATTGGGTTCATTAATCTATTCTCTCTACTTTCATAAATTTTTGGTACTTCCATAATGATGAATTTCTTAAAGCAGAGATTTTTCTACGAGCATCAGAAGAACTTCCAACTGACATAACTTCAAGAATGCACACATATACTGCCTCTGCTCTTGTCATTATCCATACTCCTAAGTAAGGTCGACTCCTTCATTTGTGCACCAGAACACATACCTTCTCCCTATTCAATGATGCCATTCTAGTAATTCTTTTCTTACCTGCCTTATTAATTTCCCCTTCTCTACTGGATCAGTTCCATTCAGCATAGAAATGTGCTATAATTTCTCAGATTAAAAAAAAAAATGTCTATTGATGTCCCTGTAGTCCCCTCTAGCTATTGCCCAATTTCTCTGCCTCTTTTAGAAGAAGATTTCTCAAAGGAGTTTTCTTGATTTCTAGTTTCCAATTCCATTTATCCCATTCTTTACAGAACTCATTACAGCTAGGCTTTTACACTTACCACTCCACTGAAATTGCTCTTGTCAAGGTCACCAATGACCTCAACGTTGCAAAATCCAATGGTCAATTCTCAGTCCCCATCTTATTTGAACTACCAGTAGCATTCCATGCAGCTGCTCACGTTCTTCTCAAAACACTGTCTTCATTAGTCTTCCAAAACACCATACTCTTCTAGTTTTCCTCCTACCTTATTGTTCTCTTCTTCTCAGTGTTATTTGCTGGTTTATTATTATTTTTATGATTTCTAACAATTCTCCAGAGTTCAGTCCTTCTTTTCTAAATATATGCTCTTTCTTGATGATCTCCAAATTTTGTATTTCTATCCTGGACTTCTCCCCTGAAATCCAACTCCACTTGAATATTTAACAAACATCGTGAACTTAGATCCACAGCTGAACTCACTAAAAATTTGCTCAGCTTTTATAGACTTCCACCTTTCAGATGGCAGCAACTCTATCCTTCCACTTGCTCAGGTTGAAAACTTTGGAGTCATCCCTGACTTTTCTCTTTACCTCTACTCCACATCCAATCTACCAGTGAAATGCTAAATAGAATTTTTCAAGTCACAATGAAAAGGCACTAAACTGAAACAGGAAAGACACTAGATCATTAATCAACTACTCCCAGCAAAGAGAAGTCCAGGACCAGATGCCTTCAACGGGTGAATTCTACCAAACATCTAAAAAAAGAATTAACACCAGTCCTTCTCATACTTTCGAAAATCGGAAGAGG